TTTTCTTATTTTTTAACCATTCATTATCCATCAATTTAGTATTCTAAATGCCAATTCAATGGGGGCTCAAACAAGTCCATGTAACAAGTCATTGTATCAACTTATTTTAATCTTGTCCAGTGCCATCGAATTTTTATCAAAGCTCGAGGTCAATTTTGGTAAAAGATAACTGAAAATTTTAGCTGTTTACTTTTCGTCTTTCATCACAGTTTAATTCTTTTTAATATATTGAATATGGCTTATAAATAAGATAGTTGAATTAAAAGTACGAACAATAAATTTATAATCATCCAAGTCCACGAAAGTGTGGCAATTGGCTTGTTTTTAGACACACGAGCTCGGCTCATGTCTTGAGTCGTATTAAAAAACGACGATTCAACCATTTGACTCATGGACTTTATGGACAAAGTATAGCCACTCAAGAGCCTATAACCCGGCAACATTAATAATCCAAATTGAAATCCTCCTCCTTTTAAAGTAGAAAAATTAAATTTGTATGCGAACAAAATATTACGTGTATAATTTTTTCTTCTCTAAAATAGGAAGAAAAAAAAATCGATATAAACAATACTTACAAAGTATGAAGTCAAATATTGAAAATCTTTAAATTTTAATCCGTTTACTTTATCTTGAATTTGGAACTCTATGTCTTCTCAATTCTTTAAATACATTAAGCTTTATGTTCAATCTACAATAAAAAGAATACATTTTCATGAGATTCTAAGACATAATTAGCATCTTGAACCAATTATAACTCTAGGTGTGATCTAGATCGAACTTCTTATGTTGATTATTCATTATTAGTTAAAACAAATTGATTCTATGGTCGGCCTTTGGAACAAATTTAAAATTGTTCTCTTTATCACTTCCTACTTCCTAAAATGTCCTCTTCCGAACAAAGAAGAATAATTTCAGAATTTTTTAGAAGGTCAAGAATACAACCTATAAAGTCCGATTTAAATTCATTTATTGGGGTAGAATCAGTTGAACACATCAATCGTTAAGTTGATCATTGGCTTAAAATTTGGGATAATATATAGAGTTAGATATATACTAGAATTAGATAGAAATAAATAAATTCAGAGACAATAAAAAACTTAATATTGATATTATAACAATTGTAACTTGAAAATGTGGATATTTGGAAAAAATAAAATAAAATAAAATAAAAATGAGGTGAAGTTGGGGATTTATATTAAGATAAAAAATTAAAATTGGACTGTTGGGTCAAATGGTAAAAATTATGACCTTGGTGCCAAACGATCATAATTATGACAGGATCCGGTTCATGGACAAAACTCGGGGCCCTGGCCCACGATCAGGCTCGTAAAAACATCGTGTCCGATTTAATGCACGACTAATTACAAAATGAGTATTGATTGAGTCAGATCGAGTCAAGCTCAATACCTCTACGCCAACGAGATTGGGAAATCCAGTCATCAATCAAAACTTCAAATCACGTCGTATGATATACTAATGCTGCAATTTAATTTAAAAGTCTAATTCATTTTGGGGAAATCTTAAAAATTATTAGATAAAAATTCTATATAACGATATAGATCAAAATCAGAAATCATTAAAAAAAAAAATCATGACATAAAGAAATTCGAATTTTAACGTCGTTTCCTTAATCGAGAAATTTAGTACTTATTTTAATGTTGTACAATGTTTATCTTAATATATTTATAATTCTATCAACACATATCGATCAAGGGTGATGGGAGATTATCACACACATCATATTAATAATAAATGGAAATACTTCAGTAGGATCATTATATATCTATGTGTTAGGATCGTTCATTCAAATTATAATACCTTATGTCTACAATTTAAATCACAACACTTCGAATGTCGAATTAGTCTGACGACCAACTTTATTTCTCATTGAAAAAAGGGCATCAATACTATTAAAATTATTAATATCATGTTTCAAGCATTCAATAGTTCAATTTCAACATGGACCTCCTTTATGGAGGCCATAACGTGATATGCACTCCTTTAAAAGAAATTTGTTAGCCAAAGTTATTTCGAAACCATTGAAAGATCAACTACTCATATTAAACATATTTTATTGCCCGCACTTGCCATAATAAATAATAAAATTCAAGAACCGATCAAAAAAAATAAAATAAAATAAAATTCAAGATATGAGCCGAGCCGAATAAGCCACTAAAGAAGGACTTATTTGTCTGTATCTCCCTCCCACGCTTAAGCATCCTGAACCAGGAATGTCCAAATCTCTTATGCAGTGACGTACAACAGCTGATATTTCTATATCGCCACGCGTTCTATTATCATTGGCTACAGTAACATCATTCAGTGCACTTCAATTGCATTTGCTATTTTCCGTCCACTTTCTTTCCACTTTAAACCCTCTCTTCTCTCT